TATGTCAAAAAATGCCTATTACTTTATTTCAACATAATCAACAATATATACAATTAGGTAGAAATCCAACTTTTCATGCTAGAACTAAGCACATAGATATTAGACATCATTTCATACATGAAGCAATAGAAAATAACTTAGCTTAGTTTACTGTCCTTCAGATGAAATGATTGCAGACATATTTAGCAAACCATTAGCTAGAGACAAGCTTGAATATCTTAGGTCAAAATTAGGAGTAGTCAGTATGAACAGTTAGCTGAGTGGGAGTGTTGTAAAAATTTGTAATTCCACCTAAATATTCACCTTACTTAGTCACTTGGATCATTTTCTTCAAATCCTAGAGAATACTGACCAAATTGCTTGTTGGGATTTACTTAGAATATTTGGGTGAAATTACAAATTATATATTAATAAGTGTATAATAAGCAGATCTCAGCAGTTCCTTTTAGGTATCTAAAAATCCGCTTAACTGCTGCAATATGATCAAATCCATAGTTCTGATTATGTTGGCTGACAACTCCCACTGAATACAAGATATCTGGCCGTGTTCCAAGCTTGACATACATCAGGCTGCCAACCATTAGTTCATAAGAAAAGTCATGGCTTTTGGATGGCACCAAGCTCTCTTAATTTGGTTGAGTTTTGACTAAGTTAAGGTTTGTCTCCATTGGGGTAGCCACTGGTTTACAGTCTTCCATTTGGTACTTCTTTAGTAGTTCATTACTGTACTTGGATTGGCTTAGAGTGATAGTCTGGGTACTTCTGTCTATGGAAGACTTAATCCCCAAGTAGTAACTGTGTTCTCCTAGATTGGACCCCTTGAACTCCTTAGATAGGCTGGATTTAGTCTCTTCCAATGTTTCTAGGTTTTTGATGGCTAAAATAAGATCTTCCACATATAGAGCTAATAGAACTGGATCTGCTCTATCTGGCTTATAGTATACTATAGCTAGCATTACTCCTTTCAAAACTCAAAGATTCCAAATAAGAATCTATTGTTGAATTCCAGGCTCTTGGAGATTGCTGAGACCATTTAGGGACTTTGTAAGCTTGCAGACTATATGGGGGTTATCTTGATCCACAAACCCATCAGGCTGGTCCATATACATGTCCGCATTAAGTTCTCCAATTAAAAATGCAGCTTTTACATCCATTTGATGAATAAAAAACTTATATCTGGCTGCAATAGACAATATTAATCTGATGGAGTTAAGCTTGGCTACCAGTGCAAAGGTCTTGGTATATTTAAGTCCCCTTGTTTGAGAGTATCCCTTGGTCAAAAGTCTTGCTTTGTATTATTCAATTGTACCATCAGCCTTGTGTTTTGTCTTGAAGTCCCATCTGCACCCAATTGATTTGTGGTTGATTGGTAATTTAACTAAAGCCCAAGTTTCATTTTCCATCAGGGCCTGATACTCCTCAGTCATTGCAGATCCACAAAACTTTGTCTGAGGGCTATTTAGTGCCTCTTTTACAGTCTGGGGCTCATCAATATGGACTTATTAGGCATAGGCTAAGTTTGAACCCTCATTGATATCAATTTTTGGTTGATTGGTAATTTGACTAAGGCCCAAGTTTGATTTTCCATCAGGACCTGATGTTCCTCAGTTGTTGCAGATCTCCAAAACTTTGTCTGAGGGCTTTTTGGGGCCCCTTTTATAGCTTGGGGTTCATCAATATGGACTGAATAGATATAGGCTAAGTTTGTACCCTCATTGATAGAGTAATTTGGGCTATTTCTAGTCTGATTGGATCTCCCAGCATTCAATACTGCAATGGCAGCTTCTGGGATATTCCTGGGCACTGCTTCAGGTTGAACCACAGTTGTAGAGTCCTCTGAAGTGAAACAATTTTCATTGCTTACTCTGATTCAACTTCTGGCAATTGGCGGACTTGAGATCAGATTTTTGTCATCATCTAATTTTATTTTTTGTGAATATTTTGAAATTTTCATCAAACAGCACATCCCTGGACTTGATTAGCTTCTGTGTTATAGTATTTAAGAGTCTGCATGCACTACCCTCATTGCAGTAGCCCAAAAATATGCATTTTACAATTTTTGGCTCAAATTTTGGCTGATTTCCAGGCATTTCTTGGCATATGCTTACACCCAAATATTCTTAGATGTTCTGCACCTGATCTGTATCCATACCATGCTTCAAATGGAGTAGAACCACAAAGTTTTCTGTTAAAACTCCTATTTTTAAGGTATACAGCTGTGATAACTGATTCTGTGCAATAATCATAGGATAATATTTGATCATGGATCACAGATCTTGCCATATCAGTTATTCATCTGTTGGCATGTTCTGCTACTCCATTTTGCTGTGGGGAGTATGGTACAGTAGTCTCTTGCTTATCCCATGAATTTTGCAGAAGTGGATGAAGAGTTTTGAGGGTCAGTTTATGGCTTCCTTCACTGTTTCTTAGGTTTACTTGGATATTTCTCTCTCCCACTGCATCAAGTGTGCTATTGTCACCCATGAAAACCTACTTAATTGGAATTTCTTGATATTGGGTAAAAAGTTCTTTTTGATGTGTAAAGTGTTGAGATGCTCCAGAGTCAATATACCATGTCTGAGAATCCTTGTTTGTGGTCATATATAGTGCAGATATGAATAGTCTATCTTCAATTATTGCAGTATTTCCATATTCAGGCTTTTTCTGCTGACTATCTCTTTTTGAAGCACTGGTCTGATGTGTGACCTTTCCTCTTGCAGTAGGTACAAAACAGGTTGCCATTGCCTTTAAAAGGTCTTGCATACCTCCTTTGTTGGTTATCATTGCGTAATAAACATTTTCTTCTTCCTTCTTATTAGTGCTTGATTTTCTTAATTCTTCATCCAGCAGCCTTCCATATACATGATATAAGATCAAATCATTAATTCTGGACTCTAGGGCTGATACAAGGCCCTGAAACCTGTCTGTTAAGCTATTCAGGATGGCTACTATTACATCCTCATCAGTAGTTGTATGCCCACAGATTTTATCTCATCTACCAGCAGGGTAATTTTGTTACTTTGATTTTTCATTTCTTCTCCTGGCTGCATCTTTGTAGTAAAAAATAGTTGTCTGAGATACATTTTCTTAGCAGCTGTACATGACTGGTAAGTTTCTTCCAATGCTGTCCAGGCATGCTATGCAGTTTTTGCTCTTGATTATTGAATTAGCAATTTGTCTTTAACATTAAGGCCAATGCAGTAAAAGTTATATTGTTCTTTCTTCTGGTACTTTAAGGCTTCCTCTCCTATGTTTTAGGAGGGCATTCTTCTCCAATGACATATCCCAAAGACCTCTTTCTTGTAGCAGCTTCTTCAGCTTCACTTTCCACACTTAGTAGTTAGAACCATCCAACATTCCAGCAGAGGGGAAAACTTTAGTAATAGCAGTAGTAGACATTGCAGAGAGTGACAGCTTTGGGCTCACAACCTGTTGTAAGAGTCTTGGAGATATTGAAAGTGATTGGGAGAACAAGTAGGCTATGTGGTTTTCACTTCATGCTTTAATGAATGTAGAAGCAGTATTTATACTTTTACCTAGTCTTGGCATAGCAAGCATGTAGAATAGGTTAAGGAAAGTCCCAAGAGCATGTGTGCAAAGTTTGAGGCTGTTTGGACAACTTTGAGAATTTTCATGTTCTGGGTACCTGGTATTTTGGTGAGAATATTCTAAGTAAATCCCAACTAGAAGTTTGGTCAGTATTCTCTAGGATTTAAAGGTAATGATCTAAGTGACTAAGCAAGGTGAATATTTAGGTGGAAAAACTAATTCTTACAACATAATGAACATGAATGAAACAACTAGGGAGCTCTGTTTTGGCCTAACAGGAATTAACATATCTCATTCACATTGAGGAAAATGAATGGTTAATTGCTTATGCTTATACCCTTGGGAATATCAAAGTGAGTAAGGCTTGCTAGGCCTTCACATTAGTGAGCTCAGCAAGGCATGGCTATATAAAATTGATGGAATATCTTGATAAGTAAAAGTAGTGTTTTGCATTGGGTAATCAAACTCCAGCCTTCTTGGTAAGAGCATGAGATCCTGATCACTGGACCAATGTGGAGGAACACAGAAGTTCAACAAACAGGATACCACCTTTACCTCATCCACTAAATAATGATTGAGTGATTGTGCAATTAAATCCATACTTGACCACCAATTGATGGCTATTTAGTATGAGACTCTTGGCCAGTTTCTTTTTAATGTATTAGTTACAAAAATTTTATGGTGAAGTATGGCTGAGAAGTGTAATACTTGGTTGCCCAAAGTCTACTTTTGGATGGATATACTAAATGGTAGATGCTAATATGTATGTGCAAACAAGTGCATTTATTTATCAAGGCAATTTCATTAGAATGCTCTTCATGACTACCAACCAATCTAAATATGGCCATTAATTCAACAAGATCAAGCTAATAAAACTGCAAAAATGCTCTTGGACTGGAAATTGAACCTGGGTCTCCCATGTGACAGGCAGGGATTCTTGCCACTACACTATCTGAGAATCTCAGAAACAATAAAAAGAGACATATTAGCCACAGTTTCAAAACATAGGATCAAGCAGAGATGTTGGCCACAATTGCATGCCAAAAGGCCTCAACAGACATTGATAAGAACCTCCACAAAGACTCCTTTGTAAGGAATACAACACAATCCCAAAATGAAGTACCCTTAACTATACTATCCAAGACTGACTTGCCTTGGACAAGGCTACAGTGGATTACTGATAACCTTCTCCTTTTGCATGATCATTAGTGTTTTTGGGCATGCACAAACAAGAATGCATTCTTCTATATACCACACCAGGGTGTCACTGTAATGCGTTCAAAGCTACAGGCCATTTCACAAGACAGGTGCGCTCTTTTTGAGACAAGTCAGTTCCATAAAAAAGTTACAAGGTCAGGTTACTTTTTGGTCATGATTTTATAATTAAAATAACATATTAATAGTGGCCTCTAGGCATTGTAAGAAGATTGCTATTGGGTGTAAAAATTATTTGCTCATAGCAGGGGTTGAACCTGCAACCTTGCATTATTAGCACCATGCTCTAAGCAACTAAGCTATGCAAGCTTATCAATCTTTGGTGGTAGCACTGTCATTATAACTCAAATATTCTTCCCTTGCTAACTGTTGTTAAATGCATCATTGCATTGAAACAAGCCAATTTTGCTTTCTAAACTAACATACCCAATGATAATATCAGAAGGAAGATGATCTGAATGCTAATCATCATAAAATACCAGTCTCTTGCAAGTCAAACTAATGTCCCAAGCCTAACTTGAGTACTATTGGTAAACACAAATACACCATTCAAAATTGTTGGACTCACTTAGTGGTGAGCACCTTGAATAAGAATCAAAATTCTATTTTGAAAATGTCAAGCATACAAAACAAAATCAGTGAGGAGTGTGTGATTTGAACATGCAACCTTTTGCTCTGTTGGAGATCCCAGCCATCAGCAAGATAGCCAGCTTCTTGGGGCATAATGTATGGTATTGCTGTCAAACATGTCAGATCCAGGGGATATACTCCTTAACTTACACACATTATTATTACCTAAACACCAATGCTATGAACATCATCTTCCTACAGGGAAATCATACAGAAGTCAGCAAGCAATTACAGCAAAGCTGGCAAGCTGTAAGTCATTGGTCAGAACATGGAATCAATCAGAAACCAGAGATACTTGAGATAGAGGGTATCTGTTGGAGCAAAAGCTTTTCACTGGAAGCAATGCATTTGCTTTTTAACGATATCCCTATACAGATGACTACATTGCATGTGTGGCATCTCAAGCTAAATGATCCCTTTGAGATACCAGAAAAATTTGAAAGAATTGGCAAGATATCACAGAGTATCTGCTACCCTGAGAACTTTTCACATGCTCCAATCAGTACTTATATGTATATGCAACAATACAAATGCAAAGACTGGATGAACTGAATATGTATTTATTCAAGTGGCATTCTGAAGCCATTGCTACCAAGACCACATTGGAAGCATTGGGAGTCATATGTGGACATTGTAGGAATATTTATCCAGAAGTAAATCACCAATGCCAACTTGACACATCTACAGCTGTTGTGTGAGGAGTTTGTAATGGGATTTGAGTGGCTATACTACAAACATAAAGCTGAGTACATAGATCTCTGCTGCCACTGTATCCATTCTGTACTCCATCTTGCTTGGTATATAGAGAATGTTGAGCCTTGCTTCACTTTTTAGGAGTTTCTTATGGAGCAGATATGTGTGTAGATAGGAATACAAGTGAAGTTGCAGGTACTACCATATCCCAATCTCATCAAGGATATTACCTCCAAGTCTGTGATGGATGTGATGAGTTGGTACATGCAGGACAGCCAGGAAGAGTTGGAAATACTGAGGACAGATGTGCACATGGAGACACCTATGCCTATGGAATTAAGAAGCTAAGCAGCCCCCATGTGTGGGCAATTAGTCAAGAAATGCAAAGTTGGGTTGGGTGAATCAAGCAACTAATTTTTAATAGGGAAACTCTACTAAAGTATGGGCCACATGCCAACTTATACACCATTCAATAGACTTGTTCCAGTGGATAGTGCCACATAGTGCCAGCCTGTTTATGGTGCCGGATCAATCTGGCACTCTACGGCACTATCTGGCACTATAATTTCTACCATGATGCCAGTGGTATGATACAGTTACTGGTAATTTTACTCAATCTTACTTATGTTGCTCAGAATAGTGCTTTCCTTGCTTTATTTACTCTTCATACTGCTCCAGACGCATTTCTCTCAGTGGATGTCTTCTTGTATGAACATACTGTGCATTAATAAGTATCTTAACTATTTTACCTATTCTGCTGTTTTCTCCTATATATGACTTTCCTCTGTATTTACCTGCCAATATGCTGAATCTCTTCAGATATCCAAATGTGTGCTCTACCCTCACTCTGAAATGATTAAATATCTCATTGTAGAGCTTCTGCTTTCTGCTAAGCACACCATTTCTTGGCTTCCTATAAGCTGTAATACATCCTAATCTCTGACAGTCCTCTCCTATATAGACTAAGTCTGCCATACATTTCTCCCCTCTACTGGATTCAGGATGATTCTCTACCCAGAGTGCTTTGTCATGCCTACTTCCAGCAAATGGCCCACTAAACCAGATGATGTTACCCTCAATGTCAGACGGTGCTTGAAACTTCACACAGTGCGCCTTGTACTTGCCAGAATAAAAGTGCCTCTGCCCTCTAGAAGGTCTGTTAATCCTAACTGGGAAGGTATCCAATATACTCCTGATATGGAACCTGTTGCTGAACACTCTGGGATATGGAAGTCTATTAGAGCTTCTGAACCTAGTATTCCAAGCTTGCTCTAAGTCATTCATACCCTCTGCAAGGTGGTTCTCCATTGCTGTCAGCTGGGAATGAAAGCTTCTAGGACTTTTGTTGCCATGGATGGTGGGATGAAACCTTGTAGGGCAATAGTTCTTGTAATAGCACAGAAGCTTAACAAGGGATCTCCTTGAGTAGATTGGGGTTGATGGTCCACAGTACTTGGAATAGATCTCATCTAGTGTGTCAAAAGGAAATCCAGTGGTAGTGATGGGATTGATAAGAAAAGACCAACTTAGATGAGTAAGTCATATTAAAATTGGTGGATGATTGTATGGAGGCGGTTTGAATCAATTTGGCGCAATCTGAGGTATTTACCTGATTTTTAATATATTATGGTTAAATCTCCATCAATTGCCATGTATCCCATCATTATGTTGCAAAAATCATCCGCAAACAATGCCTTGGTACTTTTATTGATGCTTTAATCATAGGTCTATAATCAAATAGGAAATCTGCAATTGATGTGATCTGATCCATGTCAACGCAATCCAAGATGCATCATGCATAATATATGGAAAATTCAACAATCACATTAGTATTCATATATATTTCATATAAGACCAGGTTGATGCCAATATACTGCTGTATAAGTATCCAAATCTGTTGCTATGGTCCCCTTACCAAGCCTCAACTCATCTTTAGTACAACCCAGACAAAACCCATCCCCCAGCTCACAAGTGTGGTCCGGACCAGAAAAGTCAATGTCAGATCTGTTTGAGTTCTTTCCAAATGCTTTTAGTATGGCCCAAGTGTCTATGATGAGCCTTCATACAGATATTTTGGCACTACTGATTAATCTAGCAGAACTAGATACCTCAGAGAATTGACAAAGATGGAAGAATTTGAGTAGAAAGCTGTGGCATGAGTTCTATATCAAGATGCCAGCCAATGTATGTAAGAAGATATATAACAAGACAAGTATTGAAATCAAGAATGAGCTGAGAGTGAGGGGCTTTGACAAAGAAGCCGCACGGGAACAATTTTGCATGCAATTTGCACAGTACAGGCTGGACGTGTCCATTTGTGCCTCAACTTTGGGAACCAAAGAGATTTTGAATGAGTTTTTGCCTCAAATGACTAATGTACTACGTGATATATTAGTAGAGCTAAGTGGCTTCTGAGAGCAATATACACAGGACTCATCCAGGCAACAGCTCCAAAGTATCTGACAGAGGGTAAGTGAATACCTTGAGGAATCAGATGGTGAGCTTCAGGAGGAAGAATTGTGGTAATGGAAAGTATTCCATTACTACAATATCTCTAAACCAATATTGCACTCATTTCTTTATTTTGCTTTTTGCTATTGTAACACACAAGAGAAAGATCAAGAATTTCCAACTTTGAAGAGCAAATGCTCCAGACCCTGACAAGCAATCCACCCAAGAATATTATGTCATACAGAACACGTAGTAGCCAACACATGTTTCAAATTACAGCTCATTTGAAGCAGTACTTAAGGAGTTATGACCAAAAGAGTCCAACTATTATATATATTATGCCTTATTGCTAGGATTACTATGGTGACTTTGATTGCGTGTAGCTTTTGAACCAGCCAATCAAATCACGTGAAATTTTCACAGGTGCTGCGCCTATGTCCGATCTGCGCCACTGCAAAATTTTAGCTTTGTATCATGTGTATTGCTTGCGCAATCGCCCAAAAACTTTGATCCTTCAAAATTTTCATATATATGACTTCCCCAGCTGAAAAATAAAGAGAGAGCCTCTCTTTCCAGAATCTCCACACTACGATTACAAGTTTTAAAGATTATAAGACTTCCCCTGCATCACTTGCACTGTTGAGTATTCTGACTTTGATCAGTACTACATCAGTAAAGAGACTGCAAAGCTCACAAGAATCCAATCTAAGTTCTACAAGAAACTACCACTTTTCTGTTGGAAAAGTCCCCTCTAAGAAACCCCTTTACTCTAAAGACACCCCTTTAGACACCCCTTTAGTCTAAAGACCCCTTTAGAGACCCCTTTAAGAAACCCCTTTACTCTAAAGAAGCCCCTTTAGGCACCCCTTTAGTGTAAAGTCCACTTTAGAGACCACTACAAGAAGCCCCTTTACTCTAAAGACACCCCTTTAGACACCCCTTTAGGTCTAAAGACCCCTTTAGAGACTTCTACAACACACCCCTTTAGGTTAAAGGGGAGTTCAGAATTTCCATATTAGGAAATATTTTCTCAGAAAGGAAAGTGACTTCCAGATAAGGAAAGGTTACTATAAAAGTAAATAAGCCCATTAATTGACAGAAGGTCAGAACACTGCTGTAGAAGTGATAAACACTGCCTACAGTATATTTTGAGCCCAAGATTGAGGAAATTAGTGAAAGTTATATCTTCTATCGGTATATCAAACTCCCAATAAACTATTTCAGTATTAGCATACTGGAAGTGTTTGTATATTGTTGATTAGCCTCTACATTGTAGAACAAGCCCCAAACTAATCATAATACAACACAACAGAATACAGACCGCAAGCAACATTGTCCAGATTGCACCAGCACGCCTCACTGGATTCCCTACCATCTCCTGCAACCACAACGGGCCGGCACATGTCAGTCCAGACCATGCCAACACCCTTTACCAGAACGCCCCGCATTGAGTCAGTGCGCATTGGGTCAACGTGCGTGCTTCAGAGCAAAACTATGAGAACTTGCCAAACTGCTCATTTAGACACAAGTCCATT